GAAATCACTACGAAATTTTGTGAGTAAATGCAGTAAGTAAACTTTCAAAACATATAAAGAAGAACTTAAATTCAAGTACAACATAATTAAGTTTTTTTCTATATTATTGTAAGTATTAGTAATTTAGTAATTATTTATTATTTGAATTTAGTGAGATCCTTGCGCTTGGTGCTTACTGAAAAGAGATTTTATAATAGGTTTCAATTTAGTTAACTTCAGTCTCAAGTCTCTCCGTTTTATTATATCCAGCCGGTTTCTTTGTTTTTAGCAGCAAATCATTTATGGCACTAAATCTGTGTAACAATAGTTCTCTTGCCTATTTTATTGCATCTGGATATTTGATTTTGGTTTCCTCACTAAGCCATGCCATCACTTCTTTTATATTAAATAAAGTTTCTTGCACTTCTGAGAGTTCTTGATACTGCATATTTGAAATATCAGCCAAATCCACTAACATTTGTTGCGTCATCCAAGTTGGGAAATCAATTTGTTTCAAATCAGAAAATCTTTCTTTTAAATCAGCCGATAAAATTTTTAGATGATCAAAAATAACATGTAATATATCAGTCACTTCCCATTTTTGGAGCCAATGAAACTTTTTAAAATTTTTGTTGTAAATATACGGCTGACATAATTCAATAAAGGTAACGAAATCAAATATCTTCACTTTTGCATCGACAAGAGCTTTATTTGCTCCTTGAAGTAGTTTATTTAATATATATAGTTTTTCAAAGCTATCGGTTAAATAACTCACAAATGTCTTACCATCAACCATTAACAGATCCATTTCAGGTTTGTCACTTATAAAGTAACTAAGAGCATCAAACACATCCATAAATCTTTTCAAGCAGTTCCCTTTCAACAACTATCTTACTTCAGTGTGAAGTCTCACATAGTCTTCATTTTGTTCTTCACAAAATAACTTGAAGAGACGTTCACATCTAGCTTTAATAGCATTGGCACACTTTATAACTGAATTTAGTACTTCATTTAGACCAAGCAAAATGTTTTTAACTACCAGGTTTTCCCTATGAATAACGCAATGCACAAGAAGCATTTCTAGATTCTCATCTTTCAACAATTTTAAGTATTGGGAGCACCATCTGCAGCACAAGATGTTTTATTTTTCCTTGATATATTTTGGATGACTAAGTAGTTTTTTAGCTTACTATAAAATATCTTTGGAGGTAGTGGTGCTTCCTAATGATTTGTAGAAAATTTTTTCGGCAAAATCACATTTAATATTTCTTACATAAGTTATAAGTACAGCCTCACTGTCTCTCAAAGTTGATTCATCCATTTGCACTGAAACTTTTCTTGTTTTCGACTTTTCAACAAGTTGTATTTCAATAGCCTCACTCAGTTCATCTATTCTTCTGTTAACAGTATTGTTACTTAGCATAGATTTAACGTCTTTGTCATCTTTTTCTATAATCATTTTAAGAAATGCTTATATTGATGGTTTAATTGTATTCTCTCCTATAATATGACTTTTCCCAGATTTAGCAGTGAGTAATGAAATTTGGTAACTAGCCTCAAGAGTATGATTAACAGTTTCATTATGAGCAGTAAATAGAAATTTTAATGTTGCTCTTTTTTCAGAATTTTTCTTTAAAGTTTGAAAATAATTCAAATCTGAATTAATATGAGCATTATGTTTCACCTTCAAATATGCCTCAAGATGATCTTGTTTCTTTGACTCGTTGGTCAGGCATTATTGGCATAAAAGACAAAAAAGTTACCATCGTGTACAGCAGGTATGAAACTAACTTTCAAATATTCCTCTGAATACTGACGAATTTTTTTCTTGTACCAAGGGCTGAAAGCAATAAATTTAAGATCAATTAAAAACTTCGGCACACTGCTAAATATAAACAAAGCTGAAAGTAGTTATTGTAGCCATTCATGGGAAAGAATAATGTACATGTTGCCATTCCTATAATAAAAAATATAATGAATTCGTTGGCTGACATAGACGAAAAAACATATGGAAGGCGTAATGTATCAGCTATTTAAATGCCCTTGAAAAGCATTTAAATGTCCAATACAGCACAAATTCTTTATAAAATATTCAAAATGCACTGCAATTAAAAAACTTTTTATGTATACATCACTAACATTATTCTTTATTTTGGGAAATAAAAAATGAAATTTCACCTTTCTCTAGGCGTGTTTTAAGAAAACTCCATTCTAGCCACATAGTGCACATTGACTAAGTTCAGGGTAAATAAATTAAGATACCACTTAAAATACAAAAATTTTCCAATTACAAATTATATTGATAAAAAAATTGCTCTTGAATCTCCAAAGCATTACTATTGTATGCTTTGGATACAATACAATAAACAACTACAGGAGTTGTTCTCCTCAGTAACTTATGTCCAAATAAATTCCCTTTTTAATCACATGAAAAGAGTACATAATATCAGAAGTGACTGGCTGTTAGTGTAAAAAAGAGTACATAATACCAGAAGTGACTGGCTGTTAGTGTATCTAAAATATTTGCAATCACTGACACTGAAATGCAATTATAATAAAATCTCAGCATAAATATAATTGGTTAAAAGTACGACTTAAAAATTAATAAAATATTTGCAATCACTGACACTGAAATGCAATTACAGTCAAAAGTCGTTAATTCGGACACCCATAATTCGGAATGATCTATAATCCGGACATCAAAACTAAAAACTTTCTGCGCATGCGCCACGTTGACACATGCGCAGAGGCGTTCACGCGTGCGCGTAACACCTTTTACGACTGCGCATATGAGTGTGCGCAAGTGCAGAATACGTTTTCGCGTGCGCATTTTATGTATAATGGACGTATAAGCTAAAATTATCTAATTATCTATTTCAGTTAATGTTGATGATTGCGTTGTTCCTTAATTTTCGAATTGCATCCGGCTTATTATTTTTTGCAGACTGTAAGAGCAATTTTATAAAAGTAAGCTTAAACTTTCGATTATATCAAATAGAATTTCCGATATATATTTGTTAATATGTAAAGGATCTAAGCGAAAGTATGTTTTGAAATCCGAAATCTGTTTATCAATTTCACGCTGCTCGGCGGCGGGCGCCTAATGAATTGGAAGTTGATTTGTCAGCACTATCCTTATCTTCAGCGCAGATGTTTTTATTTTATTTGGCTTATAATTCCTTACCAAATGTAGTATTTCATCTCGATATGCTCCGTCTTTGATATGATTTAAAACAAGTTCCTCGTCATTATAATTCGCTTCCGATAGCGAAGAAAAGTGACAGAGGTTATTGAAAACAAAAAAATTTCGATTGACAAATTAGTCGGTGTTCTTGACACAGCAATTATAGGACTTGAACGGCGGAACTTTGTAACTGAACAAGAAATTATGTCTGTTTAATAGAATTAAAGAGAAAGTATTATCACATGAAACGAAGCAAAACTTATAAACAACTTACATTGAAAGAAATGTTTAATAAAGTAAACAAATAAATATATAAGCTTTTTCTTTTGCAAATTTTGATACCCTTTAGATCATAATTGTTCTCTATTTCATAAAAAAATTACGGTTTCATATTTTTTATTTTAGAATTTCTGCATGCCATCTTACGAGATTTAAACTGATGATCTATAATCCGGAAAAATCGATAATCCGGAATCGCCGAAGTCCCGACGAGTCCGGATTAACAACTTTTGACTGTATAATAAAATCTCAGCATAAATATAATTGGTTAAAAGTATGACTTAAAAATTAATAAATATTTGCAATCACTGACACTGAAATGCAATTATAATAAAATCTCAGCATAAATATAATTGGTTAAAAGTATGACTTAAAAATTTATTTTCACGTATAAAAATAAGCCTTTGCAAAAGAAATTAAATTCTTACACTTCAACCCATCTAAGAAATAAACAAAATCAAAAATTCACTGATTTTTCAATGCTATGTCTAAACTTTTAAACACTGGATTTCTTCCACCATTAATTATGATAAAAATTATGTCATAAATGACAGCTTTATTATTTTAAAATGTATCACATACAAATTCTGGAATGGAAGTTATTGTTTACAAAAAAGATTACTGAAGCAGTTATATATATCCTATTAAATAATATATTTATCTCTGTAATATTAAGACATAGCATTAAGCCTCTTAAAACAGTTGCTAAATTTTGAAAGGTCAAAAAGCCAGTAAAAACAGTAAAGAGTGTTTAAACAGATCATTAAGAGAAACTCATCATTCCTGCAACAATTTCTAACTGCTTTTCAAAATTAAAGCTAAGTGAGACTTCTGTTTCTTAAGATTGCCATATTTACAGGAGAATATCATATGATAAATAAGCCCTATTCTTCAAATTAATATGATAATGGCATTCTAATAGGAGATGCAATCGATGTGACCCTAAAAAAATAATAAACGTTTTGAAGATGATAAGGATAAAAATTAAATATGTCCGACATGCTATTAAAATTATGTGCCAATTTAAAAGTGTTTGAACTAAGCTGACAATTACATAGCTGTTTAATGAGAGCTTTGCAAAAATTTAAAATGCAAAATTAACTCGATTGAAGGTGCATAAGTCATATTTATAAGCAACCAACAACAGTAGCATAATTTAAAACTTAATCACTTTTTATATAATTTGCAATATACTACAACAGAAGTAAACTTTTAATCATTATATCTTGAAATAAAAATTATGTATGAATATATCTACAACTGACTAAAAAATTTTGACTTCTCCAATAATGTAAGTAAACAGAATTTATTTTTTCCTTTCTTGTATGAAATCTGAAAAGCACTGTAATTGTGAAAAATTTCAGATTTGAAAAAAATATCCATTTTGACAGTTCCCAAATCCACTCTAGTTTTTTGTGTGGCTTCTATACATAGGGACAGAATCATTATTGCAAAACAGATTGTAAAATGGATTTTTTTTCATGACATTATACAAGTTAAAACATTTATTTTTTTTCAAATTTAAAACTATCATTTATCAAGTAAAGAATGATATAACCTTTAACAAAGCCAATGATGAGATGTACACTTGCTCAGCAGTATCAACAACAGAACCATCAGTGGGAGGAGGAGCCTAAAAATAAAAGGCATTATTATTTGCTACCTGCATCTGTCAAAATAGCCATTTAATATTACTAAAATATTTTATAGAATTCCATATTTTATTCAAATGATGAAAAAATGTCAGCTAAAACCTACAATTATTATTACATTTGAAAGGATGTGATACTTTAAAACTCAAAGTACTTAAATAAGAAACAAAGTGATACTTAAAGAAGAAAATTCAAAGTAATAATTAAAGAAGAAAAATTTATTGCCTTAATAAGGTTTTTCTTATTTATATTACCGGTATCAAATAATAAAGTTTCTACAAAATAATACACAAAATTCAATAAAATACAAAAAATTTCAACAGATAGACCTCATTAGTTTAACGAAAACTTTTAATAACTGATTTGAATAACATTCGATATTTAGATTTTCCAACATATTCTTTAAAGCAACAACCTTTCAAAAAATTAATATCCAGAGCTGATTACCGTACCTAATTAAAATTATTATGTATTTTTTACGATACAATGACGGAAAATACTGAATCATGTAAAACAATTTTATATACATTAATTTACTACAGACTACGCTCATTAATCAAAGAACACAAAAATCAAATTTACCTGCCCAAGGCTTGCTAAACCTCCACCCAGTCTTAAAAGTCTATCCATGCTCAAAGAAAATATCTGTCAATAAAAATACATGTTTAGTATACAAAAGTCACATTATATTTACTTCATCGGTAATGAAATCTATACTAAACCTCCGAAAATTTAAACAAATAGAAGAAATCATACCTACTTTAAAAACACACACAAAACTTATTATATTCAAGAAAGGATACCTAGAAATTTCAATACCTTTCTTATTAATGACAACAATTAACTACTAAAATGAATTAGCAAAATTCAGACAGTCAGACAGACAGACAAAGTACACAGGTGTCTTATTTCGCACCTTCTAAGTCTTTCTGCCCGCTGGATCAAAAATCAACTCCTAAAAACTGAATTCAAGTGCAACGCTTTTCGGACACGCCTACTGAAAATACGTCACTACCATAGAGGAATTTTGCGGCTACTCCTGACCTGCCGCAAACTCTTAACAGCGAGTCACTCGAATCGCTTGGCATTTTAGACAGTCGTAATGCTTTTGAAATGGTGGAGCGTGAATTCATCAGTTGATTCAGATTAAATCGGTTTGCTTCAATGAATTGAAACCTTTTCTGAAGGCAACTGCCAATGGATATTCTCTGCAAAAGCAGGTTTGTTTTTACTTCAGGTTATGAAAACTGAAATACTTCTGGAAATGTTTCCGAATAAAGACTATGCTTAAATGACCTATTTGAGAATATTATATATTTTTATACGTAAACACACAAATTTTTAATGTTATTGTATCAGGATTCTTTCTTTTTCATCCCGTTTTTTTTTTCGTAGTAATGATCGAAATCGTTAATTACTGCGAATTTTGGAATGCAGTAATAATATCACCATTAATTTATTGTTTTAATTACTCTAAAACGTAATCTCGGAGAAAATGTTTTTTTCTAACAGAAATTATGCATATGCCTGTCTTTAAGATATATATATATATATGTATATATTTGGGATTAGTTTTTTGGAATATTATATATTTTTTCATGGTTTTAGATGCGTGCATTTAATTTACATATGCTCTCAGAATTTCAGTGATATAGTAAATTAGTTTGCAGCAATAATTAATCTTTGATATGTATGCAATTAAAATTTCATAATTTAAATTAACTTTATATGAATAGAGAATATTTGTTAAATTCAAATTTCATTCTTTGCAGCAATGGCACATGAGAATTTTAACTTTACTTTTTATTCTTATTAAATTTAACTTTACTTTTTATTCTTATGAAACAATATATATATATATATTTCTGTAACTGTAGGGGGAAAAACCATGAATTTTTCTCAGCTGTTTAAAACAGTTCCCATGTATAAAATAGTATTTCATCCCCCAAAATATTAGTTAATTTTCTCCTAATGTATAATGTCTTGCCTGTTCGTACAGTGTGATTAATGTCATGGTAATTTTGGATACTTTCTATAGATCTTGCATAATAACTACACATGTAAGTTATATACACATTCATAAATCTCTTATGATATGAAAAGTTATTGCAGACTTTCACATAACTATTAATAACTTGGTGACTTACCTTACTTCCGTAGACCATGATCAGAATTAAATAAACTTATAAGGTTATCATACTAAATTACACGAAAAGCAGCATGACATAAATAAATACAAAGAAATTAAATGTATTTACTGTACTAATAGATTATTATATTACATGACATTGGTTTTGCCCATGTATAATGGTAATGAAAGCCAGTTTTCCATAGAAAGTCCTCTACAGAGGCATCTGTTTTCTTAAGCAGATTGCTTTTACCACATTTCAGTGACCTTGATTTAAGTATGAAACTGGATAATATTTTCTTTCTGCATGAAATGTGTTAACTGAGTTTTAGAAATATAAGCCATCTTGCAGTTACTGTGATAATACTAATTTTTGGTACCTCCATATTATACCATCAACCATGAAAGTTGTGCTAATTACTGCTGTGGAATTCTGAGCCAGACATTTGTATACAGCAGTTACAACAAACCATACAACAGTCTCTCTGCAGAATACATGAAATAACCCTGCTGTGAAAGTATTGGACCCACTTCGTGAATAAACATTCGTTCATTACTACTGTTTTATTTGCGGTCAAATTTTACCAAAAGCTCATTTTAGAATGCTATGAATACAAGTTGTCCACAGGTAATTGTTCCAATTTCTTACTGTTTTGTTCGCTATTTCCACATACAGTAGATGTTAATTCTTTCGACCAGCTGTAAAAGAACTGGAGTGCAATCACAAATGTGATTCTACCTAGCTTACCAAGAATTATTTTGTGTTACATACAAATGAAACCGCAGATGTTGCGAGTGTGGTGATATTAATTTTTGTTTTGTCTTCATTAACCGGAAAAAATAAATTTTCCATTAATGGTGAAAAGGTAAGAAATATATGATAATAAGTATAATATTATAGTCATTTCAAATTACTGCAAGAATGTTTCATTATTATTCAAATAATAATAACAAAAAGCTATCTATACTATAATTATAGTGAAGTATAGATATTAAATAAATTTTAGAATCACCTATTTACTATAATTACTACAATTTAATAAAAAAAGGGTAGCTGTAATTTTTTTTTTTTTTTTTTGTGTGTGTGTGTGTGTGTGTTTTGTGTTTGTTTTAACGTTTTATTGCATATTTTTTAATAATGAAAAAACAGTGACATATTTTTGTTAAAAATGGAAAGTAAACTCCTTAAAAAGACTGATTTATTAATATATCAACTATATTTAATGTTAAAAATCTGTGTATTAAAATTTCAGATGAAACTTTCTTTTGACTTAGGATTTATGTTTTTCTAGGTATGGAATGCTGGTCTGAGGGTTCTCTATGCTATAGGACAATGGCCAGGCAATACTCATGATGCATTTATATGGAGTGGACTGAAACAAAATCTAGATAGTATTTTGTCGCATCGTGCATATCTTTGGGAGATAGTGGATTATATTCCCATTTTATCACGGGAATATCTCTATAATGAGAAGCACAGAAAAGTTCGTGCAGCTATAGAGATCAAATCAAGATTTAGGGTACTGCACGATACTGGTGGAACACTATTGTATTCACAAAGCAAAATATGTAAAATGGTCATATCTGGTGGCCATTTTACATAATATATGCTTAAGGTATTGTGTTGAAAATCCTGAGATTGATGTGTTTGAAGATGATGAGTTGGTACCTTCAGAAAGTTTTCAGTCAGTGCATGTTGAAATTGCATTGCACAATGAATTATCTTTAAATTTTGAAACTCGATAATAAAAACCCAAAGTGGGCAACAATGAACCTCTGGCAAAGGTGAAACCCCCTTCATGGATAATAAAGAATATATTATGAAAAAAATTACTTTCATAATATATTCTTGGGGACCCACAAGCCATGGTTTATATTTAAAACCTGTAACTAAATGCACAACCCTAAATGATTTTAATTTAATAATAATCCTAAATAATTTTATTAGTCCTGGTTTCAAATGCATACTGACAACTTTTATCATTATTGTTCTTCCCTCTGAATTTCTTGTTTCCATCATTTATGTTTAAAAACTCTTGACTACCAGAAATAACTTAATAGGCTCGATATATATATATTTTTTAGTGTTGGGTATGCCAGTCATGATTTACAATAGTAAGTCACTATAAATTAGCATTGCATTGCACTTAATTTATCTCAAACTTAGCAATAAGATTTACTGCACCGAAATTCAGTTTCTTCCAAAAAGTCAAATGTTTCCCTTTCGTCCCCTTCCGTGGGACAAGATAGAAAATTTCCATGTGACAATACACATTTAATAGCATAAGAACTTCATGCTTATTTATTATAGTATAAATTAAAACTGACATATTCTGTCAAAGATATTTAAATGTATTTCCTAAAAACAATTATTTCACTCTATACTGTTTATGTCTTCTTGGGGGTGGGCAAAACAAATATTGGACAGTTCAATTTTCCTCCACCATTCCTGTGAGCGTATTCTTCGATTAAGCAGGGTTTTGCTCCAATTCCTGATTAGCATAATATGTAAAGAATAAACAGCCTATGATTTATGCCTCCATATCCTCTTGTATTATTTAAAGAACATACATTTTTCTTTTAATTCTAGATTTTAAAACATTAAAGTAAGGGAAAGATTGTTTGCTGAATTTAGATTTATATCATCATTACACATTCACTATAATAACTTACTGCATACTTACCTCAGTGGGTTTGCCATTAAAAGAAATACATTTAAGTAAAATCATGAGTGTATAATAAATTGTTTTTCAGCCAAAAAAAGAGAAGGGGGAAAATAAATACAGTTTGATTCACTTAATTTTTAGTACGCGACTCAACATTATTTTAAACTAGACATTAGCCATACTTTAATAGTTGTCATCTCTGTATTTTTAGAACTTCGAAATTAGAATGTCAATTTTATCTGCCATTGTTATGGATGCTAGTGTAGGATATCGAATGTTATTTCTTCAATGATAAAAAGAAATGAAATTTTTAATATACCACATCTCATTCATATAACTTATTAACATAATTGAAAAACAATTTAATTCATTTCGTGTTATATCTGAAAATTAAAATTTGTAATACATTGACTAAAGATTCTTACAGGTCTTATTCCCATTTTCCTCCAGGAAAAAGATAATTGCTGTGTAAAATGCATAAATATTTTTCACGAGACTTATAATAGTGGTATTAGAATTATTATAATGTTTATGTCATATAATGGATCTGTGAATTTCTTTTAAATAATTTTTATAATCACAAAATTTTATAAAATTAAGAAAGTAGTAAATTTTACAATTAAAATATGAATCCCACACTGCAGAAATACATACAAGAATGAAAACACTGTAATATTTGAAATGCATGATTTATTTTTTTAATAAATTAATAATTATATTTTGATTTTCTATGACAGCACAGCACTGATTTGCAATGCTGCTTATATTGCTTATACAAGTCACATATTTCACACAGTACATTAATATATTCTTCTGCGTTTTAATTATTTCCTTTTCTGCAGCTGTAATATCATCTCTCTTCCTTTTTTCTCTTCGGTCTCCTGCTTCGAATAGTTGAGCTTCTATCTGAGGGAAAATTTTAAAATATTCATTCAAATTCAAATATTCTTAATTTTTATATTTCATAATGTAAAACACTTTTTATAATTAATTAAACAATGAAACTTCTCTAAAAAGGAACAATTCATAATATTGATTTCTTTAACTTTCAATTTTTTTCCCTTTATAATTTTTAAGACTGTTTATAGATCAAGAGGATTTAATGATTATTATTTTAAATTCTTAAAATCTTGTTGTTAATAAAAGACATACTCTGTATATAATGTTCGCAATAAAGAATTGAAATAACTCTTTTGTATGAGAAATATTAATTTACATCTGTTATAATTAATTTATACCAGCGGTTCTCAGCCGGTGGTATGCAAAGAAACAAAATATTTTTAACTATGAAATTCAAAAATCTCATAAAGAAAAGAATAGTTAATAGAAATTTCCTTTGATCGAAATTGACTTGAAGATTGGAAAATGACACACTTGTTAACTTTTGGCTGAACCGAAAAAAAGAATTTAAAGGCATTTCAAATAAAGCTATCAAATTTGTATTGTCTTTTCGCACAACCTGTTTGTGTGAAAAATGATTTTTTTCCATGTTAAATTTGAAATATAAATACTCATCCAAAATAAAAAGTGGATCCTAATTTACCATTAAATGAAATAAGAGCAGACATAAAGAAATTAAATATTAAAGTATTATAACTGAAATTTTGATAATCAAGTGAATAATTATTTAATTAAATTTAATTTTGATAATTAAGTAATCATCAGTTTTTAATCTAATAGTTCTTTATGTGTACATATTTAATACAAAGAGTGTGCAAATGGCAATATATATATATATATATGTTTTTAATATTCTTCTTGAGGAATTGAAAAATAATCATTGTAAAATTAGTGGTAGTTTAATGTTTTTCAGTTTTTGCTTAGATGGTACACTACAGTCAAAAGGTTGAAAACCGCTGATTTATACCATTAAAGTTTTTCTGTTGGGAGGAGGAAAAGGAAAAGAAGAATCCAGAAAACATTAGATTTTATGTAATAGATACAAACTTGTCATTCCTAAATGCCATTGCAGATTTCCTCGTGATAAAGGTGTGGAATTTTCTAATGTAAAAAAGAAAAAAGCATAAAATAAGCACAATTTACTCAACAATCTTGACTGAAATATACATGCTTTCAGAGATAGCATAAAGCAAGAAATGTTTACTCAACAATCTTGATTGAAATATACATGCTTTCAGAAATAATATACAAAGCATACTGCATAATCAAAGTTATGAGTTTATATACTATGAGATACTATACATGTTTATAATATACCACGTTCCTGTACACCTAACACCTCGTCCACAATTTTCTATACAATTCATTAAAGATAGTTCCTGAAACATAACTGACTTAAGAGAAACATGCATACTTCTAATTTATGCACAATAATTTGACAAACATTGATTTCAGGTAAAGAGCTACATGTATTATATCAAAGAAAGAATGAATAAGTGTAATTTGCCTTTATCCTACAAATACTTAAAAACATTTACATTAAAAAAATGAATTATACATAATGGTAGCAAATTTTTAATGAAAAACAAAACAAGAGTTGAAAACTTAATGCAGTTTTTGTCAATATTTTACTCTCTTAAAATTTATATAAATGTATAGAAACTTGAAATGCATACCGCATTTGGCTGGAAAACTTGTGGGTATTGTACTGCACTCTAGGGAAAGGGAAAAAGTATACAATGAAGCAATCATAAGAATAAAAGATATTTGCATATTATTGAAACCAGCTTAATAAAAGTTACCAAATTTTCAAAAATGTGCCAAACTCTGACAACGATTATGTATCAATCAAAATTTTTCAGGTAACATGCTCGTGACAATTTTTCATTCAAGCAATGTCACCATTTTCATATGTGTTTCTTATGTTGTATTTCAAGTTCCAATGGATTTTAGATATGAATAGGTTTTTAGATTAATTTCAGATTTAAAATACTGCTTGTGGAGCTTACCATCAAAAGACGAAGCTGTGTTAAAAGTTCTGCAGGAATAGAACATTTTAGTACAAAAATTTCTAATGGAAACAACTATGAGATGAATTTGGTACATACACAAGGCATGCAGTATCAAGTTTATGTAATTCTCTGATTTTTTTTTTTTTTTTTTTTTTAAGTGAAAACAGATCACTTGGCACAAGTGCTCAAAAAATTTAGACAAAAAATTTGTGGAAAATGTATTTTTTTTAAACTATCATATAATTTTTATTTAATAATTCAAATTAGTATTTTAAAATTTGTTAAATGTTTTTTCCTTTGATATGTTGATAACATTTTGCCAACTTAGATAAATATTGATAGTTTGGTTATGCTAAAAGCAAGCTGCAAAAACAACGTACTTCTCCTGATAAGTATTTTTCTCTTTTTCATTATAAAGACCACCAAACTGATCCAGGTATTTGTGTTAATACGTTAAGTACCAAAAAATATTGAAGAATGCACAATGAAAGATGGCAACCAGTATGGTAAAAGATATAATTAATATATGCAATGAAAGAAATCTTATTAAAAGACGACTTTTCATTATCAGCAGAGAAGCATGACACAGTTACAGTAAAGAAATTAAGCTTTTGTTTCTGCACTTGTAGCTTTTAATAGCCAAAAATTGTTTTTTGAAATTTTATGAAATAAATAAATCTGAACATAACTGATATCAAATGAGAATGGGTCCAAACTTTCACTTAAGAAGCAGAAAGTGTACTGTAAATGCACAATATAATGAGCAGAACACAAAGCATAATTTATAAATTAACCTTTACTCTGGATGTATATATTATACATTAATATCACATTAGAATTATCAGGGTTTCATATAATTTTTTATTTATTGTATTACATTGAAATACCTTTAATTTCATTTTTATATTTTTCCCAACGATGTACAATATAAATCTAAAAAATTGCTCTTAACTGTTTCATCACATAATGAATGACTAAGGGAAGGAATGCCTGCGTGGAAGACTAAGGAAAACTTAGTATTCATATTATACATTGAAAAAATGAAGAAAACACTCATGCAGCCAGCTTTTTCACCCGGATTTAAAGAGAGACTGGGATAGCGGTGTTCAGCAGGCTTATCTGCTTGTAGATAGATGGGCTTATTAATTACTATATAATTCAAGAACTAGTTAATTTTCATATGGTAAACATGCCTACTGTCACTGAAGAATCATGCATCTGCATTAAAACAATAAAAATATAACACAAATTTGAATTTTAAATTAAACTTACTATTAGAAGAATTAAAACCAAATGCTGTAATTTGAAAATGGGAAAAAAATGTGGTTTATATTTGAAAAAGCAAGGATTTTTGTCTGAAAAGTAAAATATATTTTACACACACCTGTTGCTGTAGATTACTTTGGAGGGAATTTTCTATGGGATAAAGTAAATAAAGTTGTACACATTAAAAGAAATATATTTCTTTCGTTTTCAGGACTGGAACAATTCGTTACACCACACTACAACGCAGTAAACACTTGACCATAAGCTCAGAGAAATCATGGGAACTGATGTTTTTTGTTTACATCGACACGCAGTCTCATTGGATATTGATGTAGTTTATCGGACAAGCTCTCCTGGCACGAGAGCAAACCAGCTCCCCATTGCAATTTTGACGTCATCAGTTACCAGAGCGGTAAAGCGTTGCACTTGAATTCGACTTTAGCAGACGATAGCAGGAACGCCTCTTGCGAGCTAGCATTTGCAATTTATCAGAGCGTTGCACTTGAATTCGCCCCTAACTAACATGTAATAAATTAGAGTTTCAGAGAGCAGTACTTCTTTTCAAGGCCGATCTACTAAACTAATAAAAATTTTACCTGAATTTCAAAGAGCATTTGGAACTAACCTACACAAGGTCACGCAAATTTTTAAAAGTAAACTGCCTGTTATGCAGGCTGCAAATGACTTAGGTACTAATAAATCTAACATCTTCTACTCTGTTCTGGAGGAAATAAACACTTTAAATTAACTTAACTTCCTATGTCGCTTATTTTGTGATAATGCTTAGTAGGTTTCCCAAAAATTAATTCTATAATACATTTATATGTAATAGAATGTTTTAAAAATATGTAATTCACTGTATTTAAATGTTTATGTTTAACTTTTTGTACCATCTCTTGCTTTGGCTAAGGCTGCTGGGTATTTTTGCACTTCTTAATTTTTGCTTCCTTTTAAGTACTCCTCATTTTATTTGCATTTCCCAGCCTAATTAGAGCGTTGCCACTGGTGTAGCCTTGAAACATTTCATCGAGGACTTTTTCCTCTGTTTTCCTACACTGTTTCTGATTGACGTGATGTCTACTTCGGAAACTCTATAATTGCTTTTCCCTACTAGTTTTTCAACCTAATGTTCTCCCTCTTCTATGCTCGGACACATTACAGATCGAAAATCGTCAACATGGTTAGCCCGGTATAGCACTACGGCACGGGTGCCTGATGCTTGCGAACTGCGATCGCCTGAGTAGATCAGATATATTAGATATCTAGTTGGCCTTTTATGCAGAATCTATTAGATATCTAGTTAGCCTTGTTGCATCAGGCGAAGGCCCTTAGTAAAACTAAATGAGCAGTGTAGAAAAAATAAGACTAAAGCATTAAATTAAGTGGCCGCCATCAGTCGATGAAGAAGGGGAGTTCTTGTTGAAAGGTAAAAATCAATGAATAGAAGAATTTAGTACGAGTAAAAAAATGTTAAAGATTGAGAATGTGAGATGGGAATTGTGTTTTTCTCTGGTAAATGGAAAACATTTAAGAGAGTTGATGAAATTGTTAGAATGAGTGAAAAAATAAAGCTTAGGTGCCAAAGAATGGCAAATAGAAAGAGAGCAGAAGAATAGAAAAATAATTTTCTAACATTTCATACGAAATTTTTTAAAGCCAGGCAAATAAGTGGCTTTAAAAAATAAGGCCCAAACTAAATTAAAAAAAAAAAAATATGGGCCTAAATAAGATAGAGGAGATGAAAGAGAGGAGTGGATTAACCTAAACATGAATGTATCCTAATGTGCAATGAACAATGCGTCGAAGGGTTCCGTTACTTAATCTGACTCCCGTATTTCAATGAGGCAGCATGGAACGATATTAAGTATAAAACTGTAATTTTTTCCATATATATAGAAGTAATTTGTATCAGGAGCACTGTAGCAGCCTTTCTCCCCTATCGTACCCGCCAAAAAGGACTCTGGGAAGAGAGAGAAGTTTGTGACGTAAAAAAGATACATACATGTGATGTGCGCCTCTTGCTCATGTGGCGCATCTCTCACTCACATGCATGAAATGCTACAGATTATGCCCTCGGTGACGAAGTCACGATTGCAAATAATAATAGGTATTTACAATATATACAGAAAATGGTGATATAATGCAAAATTAGTGAAATACAAAAAATGAAGTACATAGTAATAAAAATATATACGTGGTAATATATACAGTAGGGACATGTCCGTAATACAAAACGTGAAAAATAGTATACGTTTGCACTCAAGGAACGTAGTCTATGACTAAATGCATGGGAAGTCGCTTGGACTTGAACGCTTGGGACTCTTTAGTGGTAGATGTTTGATTGAAAAACATCGCCGGAAGGCAGCTAAAGGAACATACGTGTGCGTGCAAGTGGATCATGTAAGTGTTTTAATGTATCACGTAATCTTTATTTAATAATTGAAATTTTAATTTTAAATCGCTGAAGTTCTTTTTCATATGTTGATGATGTTTACCGACTTACGATGAATATCGACAGTATGAAAATCTCTCCCTCATAACAAATGGGGGCACGAAAACCATCAACATGCACCCAATGAGTGACTTTTATCTTTTCATCTATAAAAAATCGCCAGATTGATCAAAGGCAGTTGCATTAATACGTAAGTAACAAAAATTCTAGTATGAAATATTTTTCCATCTGTAAAACATATATAAAGTATAATGCAAATTGCCTTAAAAATTATTTCTCAAGTCTAATTTAGCTTATAAAGAGTGAATATTTATTCATTTGTAAATAACAATCGTCCTCATCTTACGTAATGTACTTTTAGTGTTAAGAACATTCTTTTGTGGTTAATGTCGTAGCTTCCATCCTTTTATGATATCCTTTATTTTATGGAAACAGAACTTTTAATGAATATCTCTGTAATTGTTTGTTTGGAATTTTATTTCATTCGAAATATTTTTGACATTGCAGCACGCATAGCTCACTAAATGTGTATAAAATATTTTGATGGCGCTCTTCTAGAACAATTTTTTAAAGTTTATTATGTGTTCCGTCGTTAGATAGTACATAAAAAGGGTGCGATGCTCCTTGACGGACATTTTAAAGAGAAACTGACTCGTATCTACGTTACAGATGCGGAAAACCACGAAAACGCCCATGCAACCAGCCCGCTCGCTGAATATTCTGATGAGAGTTCTAATTTTTTCATTGTGTCTATATTCGTTAATAAGTCTTGTACTATTTCTTTGGGCTGACTGTAATTGTAGCATCTATAATATTTGAGTCAGTAAAAATAGTCTGTAGAAAACTGGCCTTTTTTAAGGGAGACAAATTAGCACGGGAACAAGATTCATCCCATTGCTCCTAATGTCAGCAAAAAATTTTAGGAGGTGGGAAAGAATTGAACAAGTTTTAAATATAAAAGTTTCCATCCACGAAAGAGAGGTCGCTTCCCTTACTTTCTAACTTTAGAAAGCTAACATTTGGCTATCACTTAAATCATCAGATAGAAAGTAGTTGAAGTTGTAGCACTTCGTCGTGCAAGTGCGAGGCGCTGCATTAGCCAATCAGCAAGAGGCGCGCATCACGTGCTCTGGGTTGAAATGCGGTTTAGCCCAAGGAGGTTAGAATAGAAGGAGGGAAGGTTCAACTCAAACGGTGAAGCTTGGCGGCCATCTTCCTGTTATCATCGTGACTTGTGCATGGAAGTCTGTCATTGCAACATTTTTTCTTTTCTTTTTGAAGCATGTCAGCTTGTATTGCATATGGATGCACAAATAGATTCTCGAAAAAAATTCCGGGCATTATTTTTCACACGTAAGTATTAATTTTCTTTTTTATGTAATATGACAACTATGTCAAAAAATATCACAATGTCATGTGGTTTTCTTTCCAGATGTGAAAAAAAAGGACTTAAAATAGGTTATTTAATATAACTATAATCAAAATACATTAAATACATTTTAATGTTTCTGTTTATAGCTGGTATCTTCGTTCCTTAAGATACAATGCTATATGGTAGGATTTAAATTGTATAATTTGAACGTTTTAGTTAATTCGTTTTATAACTTTCATGAAAAGTAAGAAATCAATTGTTACTATTTTTATTAATTGTAAAGGTGTTAAGCAATGCTTTTCTTTATATATTAATTATTATTCATTTTTTAAAGTTAAGATAAACTGTTCTGTTGTTAAAAATTTTTTGTATAAACTTACAAATTCCTGAGCAGTATAGTGATAAAATTAAGTAAAATATTCACACAATTGGACATGTGGAAAGATGTATCCAAAAACATATATAGGTGTATTTCTGTAATTCAACTTAATTAAAGGCAGTTTCTTTGAGATTAATAAATATGAAATGCGCATAAACTGAAATCAATGAATTCACATAAATCTGTTTTATTTTATTAAGATTTATTTTCTAACCTAAGCAAATCCGTGTAATATGCAGAAACATCATTTTTTTAAAGGCTTTAATGTTATGCGCATGCATTTAGATTTCGAACTATTTCTTAATAATTTGCTGTACATAGTAAATTATGGATATCATCTTTATTACTTTAAAACAAAAATTCAACAATAGCGAGGGATTTCATTATAAATTTAACATAATTTTGGGAAATAAATGCACGGAACAGCTTAGAAACACGTACATGTCACTGCCGTAATGCAATGTTTTGAAGTCACAAACATGGACACCGCTTGTTCGGCGGAGTTTCATTCCCCGATAGTGGAGGACACTGCAAACCCTCCCTCCTTCTATTCTAACCTCCTTGGTTTAGCCCACTGCTTGACGATTGTTTTTCAATGGGCAATAAACGCGCCAACATGGCTAACCGGATGTTTTGAAGCTGTGTTGTTATTCTGTTGCCACTAGATGTTCTCGCCCTGTGTTATATTTAAAGAAACTAAATATTGAAAAATCTGCATAAATGTTTCTCGCATTGTGATAAAACAACGGTACCTAGAGCCATCAAATTTTGAATAACATACGTTTCCAAACTAATATGGGCATCTGGAAGCCCAAACTTGGAATTTGGAATTTTTTTTTATTATCTGATTGATATTTTGTAAAATTTGAACGAATTTTTGATTAACAAACTTTGATTTCAAAGCGAATAACGGCAGCAAAGTACGTGGAAAAAAAAAAAAAAAAAAAAAAAAAAAAAAAAAAAAAAAAACCATAAGCGCAAAACTGTGTATTAGAAATTCTAAAGATATGCTCATTTTAAAATTATTTTGCGATATTCCTGTTGAACTAAATTTTATGGTTTAAGTGTAAAAAACATTATATTTGATAAAGAAATGCAACACAAAAAACGTTAAAAAAACGCCCCTTTGGGCGTAATATAAAATCTGAAAGCTTTAATTTTTTTTAAATTTTTACTTGTTAATTTGAGCAGTTAATTCTGTTGCGGTTTGAATGTTCTTATGTGGGGTTTTTTTTTTAATCGACTATTTTTCCCCCTGTGGGTTTTTGCCTTTTTTCTGCATATATTATGGAAACGGAGTATAAAACGTTAGTAAATTTATTTAAAGATGAGGGGGGATTCAAAAGGGTTTCCCCCTGAGATAAATTCAATATACATATATAAAACCCCTCAAAAAGATTTTACATTTTTCTCCAAAAGGGTAAGTGAAAAAAATTTTCTTGTATGGTTCGTTTTAAAAGTTGCTTATTTTTAATATTTTGTATTTCTTTTTGGCTCGATCCTAGAAGATTGCAAAAGCTGAGGTTGAGCAATTCTCTCATGTTTTTTAAGTGAAAATAGATCGATAGGTACATGGGCAAAGCCAATGCAGTGCGTAATGCCGAGTTTGTGCAATTCTCTGATGTTTTTTAAGTGAAACTAGATCGATGTGTACATGGGAAAAGCTAATGCAGTGCGCAATGCCGAGGTTGTGCGCAATGCCGAGTTTGTGTAATTCTCTGATGTTTTTATAAGTGAAAATAGATCGATATGTACCTCGACAAAGCCAATGCAGTGCGCAATGCCGAGTTTGTGCAATTCTCTGATGTTTTTTAAGTGAAAATAGATCGATGTGTACATGGGCAAAGCCAATGCAGTGCGCAATGCCAAGGTTGTGCGCGATGCCGAGTTTGTGCAATTCTGGGATGTTTTTTGAAGTGAAAATAGATCGATGTGTACATGGGCAAAGCCATTGCAGTGCGCAATGCCGAGGTTGTGCGCGATGCCGAGTTTGTGCAATTCTGGGATGTTTTTGAAGTGAAAATAGATCGATGTGCACATGGGCAAAGCCGATGTGGTGCGCAACGCCGAGGTTGTGCGCGATGCCGAGTTATTGCAACTCTGGGATGTTTTTTAAAGTGAAAATAGATCGATGTGCACATGGGCAAAGCCAATGTGGTGCGCAACGCCGAGGTTGTGCGCGATGCCGAGTTTGGGCAATTCTCTGATGTTTTTTAATTGAAAATAGATCGATGTGTACATGGGCAAAGCCAATGTAGCACGCAATGCCAAGTTTGTGCAATTCTCTGATTTTTTTTTTTAGTGAAAATAGATGGATGTGTACATCGACACCAAGTTTTTGCAATTCTTTGAAGTTTTTAGAGCGAATACAGATCGTTGTGCACATGAATAAAGCGAGGCTGTATGTCATACCGAGCTGTAATGTAACGTATTTTATATGCAATGTTTAATGTGTCGTTTGTGTATTTTAAATTCGCATTGTTGTTTTAATTGCAAGTTATACTTTAGACATCTTTTCTTTTATTGTATTTTTAATTGTTTGGTTTTGATATGATGATAATGCTTTCCGAAAAATATCGATAATCTGACTATCTACTCAATAGTAGCAAAATTTGACCCTATATATAACTTACACTTTTTTTATTTTAATACGCAGTATTTGCTATCGCAATTGCACTTGATAGTATGAGTTCATTGATAATATGTGTGTGTGTGTGTGTCTGTGAAGCATTGCTTAGTGTTCCAAATTTGTAGTATTTATTTTCTTTCATTGTGAGAAATAAGATTTTTTTTTATTTGTAGAATGTATAGAATTCTAGTAAGACTATAGAATATGACGTGATTTAAGGATTTAAGAAACAGTGATATGAAAGCTGTGTATGATGTTGATCTGCAATAAAAATATTTATTTTTTTATTAATGTAAAGTTTAAAATTTTTAGAAAATAATGAAGATTGTCTACTTATTAGTACCTAAGGGATTGTGTCGTTACGTAGCAACAAGGTAATTTGTAAAAATGATAAATTAAAATGTTCGATAATATGAATTTAAATTTTTTGGCAACTACTCCGGTAAAAGAAAGGAAAAAAAAAAGAGGGAAATAGTTTTTGATTCGAGCGTATTGGCAACAGAGATAAACCAGACGAAAACCGTAGAACTATACTTGAACTCGATTTTTGGTAGTTTTTGAATCGGCTGTAATCGGATATTGTTCTTTAAATGATTAGCCTTTTAAACTAAAAATGTAAATAATATTATGTCAATATACCCCCCCCCCCCAAAAAAAAAATCAAAATCATGTGTATGATTTATTTTACTTTGAATCATTCACAAAAGAAGTTAGTATTTTTCTAGTAGCTATCCGGAATATAATCCAGCATCAACAAAATCATCAAAGGGAGGGTTAAGTCTTGAAATTTATTAAACCCTTATATTAACAGATTTAACGTAAATTGGCGTACATACTATTTTATTTAAAAGACACGCAATAATTTGCTACATTCTGATATAATTGCCGCAATAAATTTAATAATAAAAATCTTTTTTTTTTTTTTTTTTTTTTTTTTTTTTTTGTATAAATTCTAAAATTTTTGAAAATACTGAAGCTGTATGAAATACAAATATGAGAGAGACTGCGACGTTGTTTACAGTTTTAATAATTGGTACAATTCACTTACTGCATTATTATAACTTAAAATATAAAGAATTTATTATACTTATTTCTATATCTATAGAGAAAACATTGTGACGTCAAAATTTTAGTCCCACCCATTTATGGACGTCACTTAGCTCCGCCTTAGAAACTTTGTTTACGCAACGTATTCTGAGATTTTACTGGCAATTTCAAAAAATCGCCACTACTGAAAATCGCCAAGCAGTGGGCTAAAGCACATTTTCACCGTGCTCTGTTTTACGTCACAATTTCTCTCTAGCCTCAGAGTCTCTTTTGGCAGGTGCTGTTGGAGGAGAAAGACTGCCATAGAATGTTCTCAGTACGAATCTCATTTTTGTGTATGTAATAAAATATATTGTTACGAAATGTACAGGCGCGATAAGATAGCTTCCCCGCAAAGCAGTTTAAGGGTTGCCATAAAATGACAAAGGAAGACATGGTAAATCTCCTTTTCGAACGGCTACGACTCCGAGCTAGTTGGCCTTGGATGTAGTCCGGTGATGATATCTAAATCTTGATCTAGAACGATTACTTATTTGCAGTGAGTCAATTTTTTGTTCTAAGGCTGCTATTATTGCAAATAGAACATCATTAACGTTTGGCGAAACAGCATAAATTTCTTTTCCAGACTTCATATCATGAATTTTGTCAGCCATCATAGACAATTTCTCTAAATTTTCGTCACTGACGAGAAGAATGTTCTTTATAAAATCAGGCATCTTATCCAACCATAAAGATTTTAGAACTTTTTCAGGAAAATCGTCTGCGGCTAGACTTTTCATTTGCAGCAAAAGTTGACTTGGTTTATAATCTCCGAGATCTAATCCAGTTATCAAACGCTGAATTCTCTTATTTTCACTTTCTTTGAAAATATTTAAAGGTCTTTCTTTCGCCATAGAATATTTATTAGGCTTAGCGTTTTTAATAATGTCCCATATATTTTTAACATACTTCGGTTCAAGCTGGGATATCAAATAGTTGAATTTAGTCTCTTCAGTCGTGATTTTATTTATTTCAAATTGGGCTTCCACTTGGAAAAACCAAATGGGTGCTACTTTGGTAGACGGTTGCACGGATGTTTTAGCGATTTACGTTGGCGCAATTTTTACAATCGTCAGCCATCTTGAAAAACGCTGTTTTTACGCATAGTAAGGTATTCAAAACTTAAAAAAAAATAAATATCGTTAAAAGTAATGGATTAATTTTTTGTTGAAAATGTCGTTTTCTAAGATTGCAGGCAAGTGTAAATAAATACATTTACTATGAGTATAAAATACTAAAGTAAGGCTATTATTACTTTCATACAGCAAAAAAGAGAATAAAAACACAGCTATAAAAACATTGTGCCAACGTTTAATTATATTAAAATATTACTCAAATTGAATATCGAATTAAAACCATCATACCAACATTTAAAAGAATTAGAATATTATTAAATTCAAATACTTTAAAATACGTTATATAAATATATAATTACCATTAAAACATATGTGATAATAATTATCTCAGAAATTTTTGAAAATAGTGTATTAATTTTTTTAACAAAAATTGAAGTATACAATTATAAAATAAAAGAAAAATATGTACTCACATTTTTTTGAGTAATTTAACCTCTTGTTTATTGATAAGTACCACCAAAAAATCGAAATCATGATTGAATCGGCTCTTTTAACCATTTTCATCTGTTATCCACATATCTCGCACTTCAATGAAGAAGCAATCAGCAAGGTTTCCTCCAAAAATTTAAAATAAATTTCCTCTGACGCTATTAACAATTTATAAATAAATCATTGATTAGGAAAGACAGGTTGGCCGAAATAAGGTCTCAAAGGGCAATTTTTTTATTCCAATACCAATAATTCTTGGTAATTGCCAATAACAACATTCATCTTCGAAACGGAGATATCCATTCCATTTGAAATCTGACGAATTCGAAGAGATGAATAATAAAATTTTAAAATGGCGCAGTAATGCACAAATATTCAGTAACCAATCAGGGAGCTGATTACATCACGCATAGAATTAAAATTATTTAAATAATCATTCATAATAAAATCATTTTAAAAACAAATGCAAAATTAAATTGTATTTTAATATTTAACAGCCATAAATAATGTTTAAAACATTAGATTAAATTTATAGGTATTAATAAAACCAATTACTTTTTAAGTAAGGTGACGTCATTGATTGCATCATCAACAACATAAAATTATATAAAATATTATAAACAACAAAAATTTTTATTTCAAATAAAAATGTAAAATTAAATTGATTTTTAATATTTAGAAGCCATAAATAATATTTAAAACATGGAAGTTATGCATAATAAAACGCATTATTTTTTAAATAAAATGACAACAAAGTATCGGTTACCATAAATAACTTATCCAGCAATGGGTTTACCATAAGTTGTATTACTCGCCAAAAGAAAAATTGCCAAAAAATCGCCAAAATCCGTGCAACCGTCTACCAAAGTAGCACCACCAAATGTCGGGTTTTTCACGCCTAAACGGTGGAATTTTAATGCTTACTTTATTCGCTTCGGCATCCATTATGTAGTTGCTTCTGTTACTTTTTCTGTAGTCATGTTAAATAAACAAGTCGAACGCTCCTGAGTCACCAAATATAAAAAATATAAACAGTACGCCTTTATGAATCTCAACAATATAATATAATGCAAATAAATTCTTACTGTAAAATAAAAAGATTACCATATCAACATCAAATATAATTTTTTATTCACCAGCTCAGTAGTCAAAAATCTCATCTTCTATATTTTAATAAACAAATCGAATTCTAAAGATAAAAACTGTTGCCAAAAACGATAATACAATAATATGCAAAGTAAACATTTATAATTATTAAAGTATTATGAGTATTAAAATATTGTGAGTTACTTTCAAACTAATTATTTATATTTTATGCCGTTACACTCTCTAAATGCTTTGTTTTGAAGAACTTAAATGTGTTGAAGGTGAGTTTTGCAGCGTAGGCCCACACAGGACTAGTACAGAGTAATGGTGGTCGAAGTATAGATTTATATACGAGGAGTTTATTTGGAGCGGCCATATGACTTCTTCTACCAAGAAGTGGACATATACTTGCAATATTAATTTTTTTCACAGTTTCCCGGAGGTATTTCTGAAAAGTCAATTTTTTTTTATCTAGAATGACTCCTAGATATTTGACTTCGTCAACCCAGTCAATTTCTTCATCAAACAAAAGAGGTCTTGGTAGTGTGAAATTTGCTTGTCTTTTACGAAAAATTATTCCTTTTAATTTTTCAGTATTAACTGCAATCCTCCAAAGAGTGAGCCATAGATGATTGGGGTAATGTTGAAGAAGGAGCTGAACAACTGTAACTGTAGAAGCCTGGGTAATAATTGCAGTATCACGAAGTTCCTTTTTACTCTCCTCTGCTTGGTTTGTTGTGGTCTAGCTTGACATTGGGAAAAGTTAGCTGGATGTGGGCCACGACAATGGCAGCAAGTGGCAGGCTCATCTTTGTCAACTGGGCAATTTTTAGCTTCATGATTTCCATCCACAACGCACACAAACCCAGTCACGAGTACAAAAACGTGAGCTTGGAAGTATTGCTGGCAAAGATAGCATTGTGGAGGCCTAGACCTCCGTTTTAAGGTTTCAGCAGTGACATTCATATATCTAATGTGTGTGTGTGTGATTATGGCAAAGCCTCGAGGGCTATCTGCCTAAGGGGAGGGATGCCTTCGTGGAGGACTTTCTAAGGGCAACTGGCTCGTATACACGTTACCCATGGGGAAAACCACGAAAACTCCCATGCAGCCAGCCCGTTCGCGGGATTCGAACCTCGGACGGAACTACCAGTGTTCAGCGACTTTACCGCTCGGCCGCTGGTGGGCCCCATATATCTAATGTGTTTGATGCAATAAATGTTTTTTGATGCTTCAGTCTTAGGAAGGTGAAGTAAAGCGGTATTCGCTTATTTTCCTTTCTGTTTCTCATGATTGTGATATGATTAATGTAAAAACCTTGGTTTGTTAGTTCATGGAGCATATAATTGCGGTTCATGGACACTGGCAGGCCTCTGATTACTACTTTAATCACTTTTTCTTCATGCAGAAGAAATGTATGGATTAAGTATGAACGCATCTTTAAGATGTGTTTTTTCTATGACTTTGCGATTAAAACGGTGAGAGTCAGCATCAGGGGGTTCAATTTGTAGTCTGTCGCCTTTAAGAATGTCCATTATCTTTTTTCCAGTTTGATTACTTAAAATTGCAAGAAATTTGGCGGCTACATAACTTTTAAAGAATATTCTTTTTAGAAACAACAATTAATCTTTTTAGAAACAACAAATCTGAAATTAAATATTGTTGCCACTCACAAACTGTGTTAATGACATAGGGTTTGTATTTATGTAAAGTTAACGTGCTTATAAAGTTCTTAAAATAAATATATATTTAACAAGCAGACAATAACAGATTTACTACTTCTTCCATACAAGTATTAGATTTTCGAGCATGTTCTTCGGCACTCTTCCTGGAATTGTATAGAAAAATTTTGACGTTTGAAATATGTGGAATATTAGTTGATGTGTCAAAACCTTGATTATATAACTTTCCTACTGCTTCATTATAAATTTGTCAATCTGAGATATATATTTCTTTTAATACTGCTTTCGCCACAAATATTTATTTCTTCCTTTAAAGAATTAGCTACATTAGACTGACATGAATGCACTTCCTGATTATCTCGATCTCCTGTTTTCAACACAAGTGGTTAAGCTAGAGGGAACCAAGGGAAGATATCTGTCCCTGGTCGCGGCATTCAGGGTGCGCCAAACTGATTTCAGGAATTTTTACAATGAAATGTTTTCTCTTCCTGGCGAATAGAAGGTGGGACAAAATCTTTAGTTGTTTCCAGGGCGCTGAAAACCCTAGTGACAGTTTTCTTCAACATGTGGTAAAACTATGTTTTGGCGTAATTTCGAGTGCACACGCGATTTGGCGGGCATACCACACGTAGTTTAAGGTAAGGTTATCTGAATATGGTAAAGGTCACAAAGGCTATCTGCCAAAGGGAATGGATGATTCCACAGTGGACTTTCAAAGGGTGTTAAGGAATAGTCTGTGATATCGTCAAGAGATGGCGTTAGAAGTCCATCTATTGGCTTACTTAACCCTTCTCCTTCTGAACACGTGACTTGAAATTTTATTCTTGTTGAAGGTAGAATTCGATGCACTACGCAATAGAACCAGTACCTCCTGCATGTAGGAGGTACTGATAGAACTCGATTTAGAATCTTAGATGGAACTATTCAGTTCTTGCTTTTTGAGCCTTAATATTCGATTCAGGCATTTTAGCCTACATTGTATATATGTAAATATTAAGTTTAATTAAAATTTATATAAAACCTACCAGGCCATGCATCTCATTTTGGATTATGAGTGATTGGAATTTGATCTAGAATACTTTCCGTTTCAAATGGTGCATCCGCCACGGGAAAGAATCTGATTAATTTGAAATTTTGTGTTTTTCGCCTTTTGGATTAGCTTTGTAAGCGAAGATTTCTCACAGTAAGTCTCTTTTGATAATTTATTAAAATGGAACCGAAGACACTAAATAAGAATCGAGCACATATACGTGCTTCTGTAACTCAACCTCAGAGGCTAATTATGACTCTGCTATAGACATTCTCAAAAATAGATTCGGTCAAAGTGACCTTATTATCAATACACACATTTCTAATCTCTTAAATTTAAATCCCGTTCAAAATTCAAGTGAAGTGGCAAAATTGCGAAAACTTTATGATACAATAAACGTTCAAGTCAGAAGCCTTTTAGCATTCGGCGTGAAACCAGAAACATATTCCAACATGTTTATTCCAATTTTGATGAAAATTGTCCCGAACGAT